GCCGGCCGTCCCGGGCCGCGCGGCTCGCCGCCGCTGCTCCCTGTGGAGCCGTCCGCCCTCACATCCAGGCCGGCCTTGCCCCTCTCGTAACCTTACCTAGGTGTCAAATTAGTTCCCGCCGGGTGACGTGGCGCTTGCTGCGAGAGCCGCCGCCCCTGGCCGGGCCCCGCACTCCCTCCCGACTCCCGGCGAGGCCTCCGGCGCGGGTCTGCTGAGGACGCGGTTCTCAGCTGTGATGCGAGTATTTCAGACAAACTTCTGAGCTAGAACTACGGAGGTAACACACAGAATGTTTCCAGCCTTGTTTTAGATGCTGCTGTTTGTTTGCCAGGCATCACCCCCAGCCCCGAAGCGCTAGCTGCCCTTGTCCTGCGGCGCCTGTCCGTTTTGGACGTTTTGTGTTGCACCTATTTTTAGACTGGCCTCTTAAAATGTTTGGCTTTTGAAACTGTTTAGGATTTATGAAGAATGGAGATTAACGTAGGAAAGAGTAGAAAACAGGAAAGAGTGGTTGGTTGGGCATGGGAGTATTTTTACATTTTATATTTTAAAAAGTTGAGCTATGTAGTTATCAAAAGTTTCATTAAGACAGTGCTAACCATGTGCCAGGCACTCTTCTAAATACTTTGCATATGTTAAACTTGTATTTTGTGAAGAGCTGAAGAAGGTTATCACTAAATACTGGAACAAGAAATGAGTTCACCACCACGGTGGCAACTTGGACAAAGGTACTTTGACTTTGCGGAAGAACCATGTTGTGTCACGGGTTAGTAAGGCTTTGTCCGGGCTGTTCTTCCATCTGTGACTGACTTCCTCCATTCTATCACCGTAAACGACTCGTACTTCCAAAACCTGTTCAGGCCTGACCTCTCAGAAGCCTTCCCCAAATACCTCTTCTTGCACAATTCATCACTCCTTGCTTCCTGCTATTGTAGCTTATGCGTGCTTCTGTTATTGTGGAAGCAACTGGGATGCCTCTTACACAGTTTTGGGTGCAACTATTGTGCCTCCCAGTTCATCTCTAGAGTGCAAATGTTTGAGCCCTCACAAACCAGAAGTCCAGACTGTCCTCCCTCCAACTCCATCCCCGTTATGCATACAGGATTCCCTGTGCTTAGGAGGTACCTGAAAGAAAGTATAGTACTGTAGATCAATCTCATGGCTAAGACAGAAGAGTAAATGCAGCAAAATTGGCCATGTGTCCCTGATTCCTGGAAGGTGCTTGACACATTTTGTGGGGGTGGGCCACCCACACCCCAGAGCTCTCTAACAGAAAGTGCTCCTGGCCAGATTCCCAGTCACCTCAGCAGAGGAGGCAGCAAGGACTTAGGGTTACAGAGAGAGAGTTGGAGGGAGGAGAGTCTGGGCCTTAGGGTTTTCTATTACTGGTCTGTGAGGGCTCAAACATTTGCACCCTAGAGATGAACTGGGAGGCGCAATAGTACCGCAAACTGCGTTAGAGGCATCCTGGTTACTTCCACAGTAGGTTACCTATGCACTGGCCAGCCGTGTGAGGTGGCTCAGGGGCAAGGCAGCAAGGCTGCTTAGCAGAAGATGTAAAGTAAACAAAGATAAAGCATTGTACCCATGGTGAACCAGTCCAGTGTGGTCAGTACAAGGTCAAGAGTCTGGGCCAGAGTGGGGCCTTTCCAGCCTGTCCTCATGTCACCCTGATCCAGGGGCCCTCAGGTTCTGCCAGTCTAGGCTCCAGGTGTCAGATTCCAAAATGATCAGCTCTTTCTGTGCTCAGAAGTGCTAAACCAGGGCTGGTTCTAGCTTTCACTATCTCGAGGATTTAAAGCCATCGTTGTTCTCTTCCTCCCTGGCGACGAACTCCTTTAAAAAAACAACAAAAAACAACAAAAACAAAACTATAGGCAAGTTCTGATACCTTTCTTGGTGAACAATTTGAGCAACTTCCTTGACCCCCCACCCCACCCCCCACCCACCCAAAAAGGGTATGGGAGACTACAACTCCAAGATGATTTTTTTGTCCTGGCCTACGTAGATAGATACAGCACCCTTCTTGTAAGAAACCCTATACTTCATGTGCATTACATTGTATTTTAATGGTTTTTATTCCTACCTCCTGACTGAGTCTTAAGCTTCTAGATGGTAAGATTATGTCTTTTATCTTTATATCCCCAGCACTAAGCAGATTTCCCAACATGGTAATAGTGATAGCCATCATTACAGTAGTAGCCGTAGCAGTAATTCTTTATTGAGTGCCTGTCCTGATCCACTGAATGTGTTACATTAATGATCTCACAAAGTAGGTACTATTATCCTCATTTTTACAAGTGAAAAATCTGAGACTTAGGTAAGTTTCCCAAAACTACAGAGTCAGTAAGTGGCAGAATTGTGCTTGATATCTGTTTGTTGAACTTAACTGTGACCTACTTACTGAGAATCTAAATTTTTAAAACTAGCCAATTAATGGTGAATGTTTTCATTATCTATTAGAGAAGGCCTTTTCTCCACTTTATGGTTCCACAAGGACGACTGTTTTCTGGCCCTTCTCAGAGTCTTAACCATTTCACCTCTGATGATGTAAAGTAAGCTGGGCAAAGTGAGCATACTGGGCTTGACTCTGCCACCTTTTTCCTCTTAGGAAGTGCAGTCCACAGGGAAAAACAGTCTCTACCATTCTCCTTGGTGGCTGCCTGCTCCCATCCCACTGCTGCTTGCAACTGGGTGGGGCCTGCTGTTGATTATGAAATTCAGTATTAGTCCAGCACCCCTGGCTACCAGCCTGAAGTCACTCCTTCCAACCTGGCTGCCTGTCTCTCTCACTATTTTCTTCCCCAGCTTTTTCAGAAGGAAAGAAGAGGCAAGCTATTTCCTGAACTTTCTTATAGACCTCCCCCCCCC